GAAATGATCATGCCTATAATGACTTATTTTTCAGAGTTTCTGGAGGGCTTCTATGTGAAATATGGCAGCTTCACTCCTCTCAGTGAATCTGATATCCTGGAACACCTTAAAAAGAACTGCAACTCTGCACTCAGCAATAGGTCAGCATGCACATACATACACATGAAACATCTGGTTGAATATGCTGTTGGATTATTCCCTTCACGTTTCTGTGTATAACAGAGGAGATAAATGAACAGAAGAGCTAAAGCCTAAATGTTATGGTTAATCCCTACGCAGATGATCTGTTTTTAAATTATTATGGTGACACTGCTGTTAAACAATGGGTGGAAACAGAGATGCCTTCATTAAAATCACAATATAACCATTTAATTTCGGATAACTACTTGATTTTATGCCATTATTGTTTATCTTCTCCTTCAGAACTGTAGCGTCTTGCCTCTAATCTGAGGCTGTCACGTTCCCCTAACTGTTGCTAAAAATATATTTAAACAGAAGACATCATATTTATTAATGTAGCTGCATTCTTTCTCACCGTGTGTCTGTTTCACATCTGTTGAAGTGGACTGGACATTAAAGGGGAGATGACTCGGTACAGGGCTGGGCTGGCCTCTGCTCCTATTGCTGGCTTCATGGTCATGTATAACAAACACACCTTGAGCCTGGAGGACCTGAGCACGCTGGAGGAGCAGAACTGGCTCAATGACCAGGTAAAAAATGAGGAGGAGAAGTTAGAACAGGGCAGAACCTTTTGTTCAGGCAGTAAATTCGCTTTAACATGTTATTATAGATTTATAAAAGTCACTCTGTCTTTGGATCTTTGAATAACATAGTCTGTTCCCCTTCTTAGATTATAAATATGTATGGAGAGGTCATCATGGAAGCAACAGAGCACAAAGTAAGTAAAAAATGTGACCATAAACATTTAAAGCTGATTAAGCATCACACCGAACAGTGCAATGTGAAAGATCTTGATATTTAGAGACTTTTTTGGGTGTAATGACTTTTAATATTTATCCTTTTAGGTTCATTTTTTCAACAGCTTTTTTCACAAGCAGCTTGTTGCCAAAGGTTATGACGGTGTGAAAAGATGGACTAAAAAAGTAAGGAGGAATATTTAACAGTATCACTGACTGCAGCTGGAAATGACTTTTATCTGCTACATTGAGTCAGACCTTTATTTTATTGATGGATATGAGTGTCCTCTCCTATATGAAATAATTCATAGCTTTATTCTGCTGACTGTGTTCAATGACTTTGTGGACTCATGCAATACTTTGTTTACATCATGTTTGTGTTGATTTGTGTGTTACTTTTAGGTTGACTTGTTCTCCAAATGGCTGGTGTTAATCCCCATCCATTTAGAAATACACTGGTCTCTTGTCACGGTCACCATGGCAACCAAAACCATCAGCTACTATGACAGTCAAGGCATTGTCTTCAGACACACGACAGATGTGGGTACCTACTAATGTTTCTTACTTAGTCCTGTTTTGGGGGCAAGATTATCAGACAACTCTGCCCTCAGAAGCAGCAAGACTTTGGTTTTGGTATTTCGGCTTAGTTTTTGTTAAATATGCATCGCTCTTCTTCTTCTCAAGATGTGCTAATCTAATCTTAAGACATGATAATGGCCAGATGATTTATACAGTTTTGACTTTTTAGTTTGAGAAGGTTGGTGTCATGTTGTTCACCAAGGAACGGAAATTCCTGGTTAAATGCGGCGCATATTCTCAGCACCACTACAACATCATTGGAAAGAAAAACACTGCTGTTAAAACCCTTTTTTCTGTCTTAGGCTGAAATTTAAATAGCTGTTGAAGTTTTGAAGAGTCTTTCTTTAGAATGTGAATGAATATAAGTGCTCCATCCTTGTGTTTGTAGTATAACTAACCACATATGTGTGTCTTCTCGTATCAGAACATTATGAAGTATCTTCTGTCAGAAGCTAGAGAGAAGAAGCAGGCAGCATTCCAGAAGGGCTGGAAGATAACCATTATCAAGGTAACCTTATCATACTGTGTTTCAATTTGTGCTTTTATAAGGTTTATGGATCCAGTTTTGGAAAGGTCGGGGTGCAATATGTGAAAACATAATGTAATTGTGTTAAGTTTTCAGAAGCCTTTGTTTTATTCACTGTAGCATTAACAAACATGTTGCTCCCTGACACTAAGACAGTTTAGCATTTCAAGAAAATGATAATCCCATCCTAAATTTGATTACAGCAGTACTACTGGACTCAGACATGTTTTCCTTTGGGTATAGCAACAGCACAGAAACATCTGAAACCATATTTTTCAGTTATCTCTCCTTACTTGACATGCCCAAATAAACAACACAGCCGCAAACATATTTAGAGACATACAGCTTAGAGTTAAGAGATGCGCTGTTGTCTGCCCCTCACTTGATTTTTCATTTTGTAATTTGTTTTTTGAAACTTCTCAGGGAATTCCTCAGCAGAAAAATGACAGCGACTGTGGAGTTTTTGTCCTTGAGGTGAGACAGTTCATTATTGTTTTTTCTCAACCTTTTTGCTCGATGTGTCTTGTCCGTAGCCAAAACATGAACTAAATAAATCTGCTTCCTGCGTGGTTTATGCTGAGACAAAGGGTTAGAAAAGGTTTGTGCACCCTTTGTGAAAAAGGCTGTAGATCTTTATTTGAGTCTCTTTCTGTTTGTCAGTACTGCCGTCGTCTCTCAGTGAAGGAGCCTCTGCTCTTCAGCCAGGACGACATGCCTCGCATTAGAAAGAGAATCTACAAAGAACTGTGCGACTGTCGCCTCAACGACTGAACGACTGAGTAACGGTTGATGTTTTGTCCAAGTCTGTCATTTAGCATTTCTCTCTAACAAGTCTGACTTATAAGCTAACACAACTTGGCCATCTTTATTCCAGGGAGCCCTAAGTGCCATGTTCCTCTTTGACTGACACCGGAGCGGCTAATACTTGAGATTTTCTGTAACTTTGGGAGTTCAGCATCAGTCTGTAGCTGAGCAGAATCTTATTTTCAAACTTGCAGAGAACTACTGAAGTGGCCTCCTACTGACTGTTGAAAATGTTGCACCCGTCACTGACTGTACACGGTCCTGGATCAGGACTCCATTGCTGGACACTTCACGCTGCTTCTGCTTCCTATATTACCTATCTTCAGAGGAGTTCAAGAGAGCAACAGAATAGAGTGCTGAAAACTTCCATTACACAAACATGTCCCCGACGTTCTAGTCTGATTAACCTTTCATCCCAAATGGAGTGGCCTTACCTCCCAAAGGGCCATTTTAACATGAATGACGTTTTTAACACTTCATTTTATGCTGGACATTGCAGCTTAAGTATACTTACAGTGATATGCATGTTTGATAACATGTTTCAAAACCTAGAATATGTGATTCAGTGGACCAGCTGTTCACTTGAAACTTGAAGGTTTAAGTTAATTTTTTTTTCTCTTGGAGTAGGAGTTTGCACGGTTGGAGGCCTACTCATTGAAGTCAGAAATATAAACTGAATGTTCCGATAATGCGTTCCTCTTCCCCAGTGCTGGCTTCAAATCGGGATCAAGTTTTTGCAGCAACATTTTTATTTAAAATGTCTGGTTCATGAAATCTTGCATCAACAAGTTTCTTAATAAAAATGATAGTTTGTTTTATCCCAGTATTTAGTTTCTTTTCTTTTTTGCTGTGAGCGAACTTCATGTTAAATTTCAAGCAAGTATACTCCAGCGCTTCGTTAAAAAACCCCATTTCAAAGTCATTTCCTACAGGTTAGTTTGTGTACATTTTTTCCTGAATGTTTTATGCTGTAAAACTAGCTGCTGAAACAAGGATGACGGTTTTTTCTTCCATCTTTATGCTGTTTCACATGGGCGTGTTATCATAGCGTGGCCTCCCGGATAAGTGGGCTTCAGCTATTTTGATTAAGTTCTATTTGTTATGTTCACTTATATATGTATATATACACAGATTGTACAGTACCTCCACTGGCCTATTACTGTGTGTGCTTGCTTTTGCTAAAAACCACAATGGTTTTCAGACTGTTTTTATAGTTGTTATTAAAAGGTCAATACTGCTGGGACATTTGGTGTACATTTATTTAAGCAATGTCTTTTCTATTATTATTTACAACCTTCAGATATAGCAAAATATTCCGTATTTCTGAATAAAGCAAGTCAAGGGGGGGAATTCAGAGGAGGGTCTGCCTTCGAATGGAAGACACTGACTTTGAAATCATGTACAGGGGAGATTTCACAACAGTGAACAATAGGTTTTGGAGTGGTTCCCAATTTGAATTAGTTTGAAAGAGACGTTACATTCGTTCAAAAGTCTGAAAGTCAGACATCTTCATACATGTCAGCTGGTGCTTATACAGGCTGGTCACAAGAAGGAAACTAATCTGATGATGTGCAAGAACCATGACGGACAGAAAGCATGGGCCATCCCTTCGTGTGGCGGAAAAGGCTAATACCATTTTCTGACATCTTTGCAATTCACTTCTCACTGAAGATGGCATAATATTAGTAGTTCCCAGTTTATGTCAGCAGGGGGCATAGTTGTCGCATTTGCAGAACGTTCACATGACTGCTATAAAACACATAATTACTCCCATCATGAGCAGTATTTAATGATGTGAATTTTTGTTGTATTCCTCTGCTTAATTCTCTGTTTGCTGAATGATGCCAGTGATCAGCAGATGTGTCGGTCCCCCTGAAACTAGCTCATGGGCTCACTTGAAAGCATTTCACAATGGACCCAAGACCAAGAATTTTAATGCTCAGTCTGACATCTTTGAAATAAATTAGGTGAAAAATGTTATCTCTTGTGTCTTCAGATAGCTCGGGGTGATAGACACGCTTACACTTTCAGAGGCGATGAGCTCAGGGAATGAGATCTACTCCATAAATGCCATTAAGACAATGCTAAAAGTTGGAAGACTGGGTATTTTAACTCATGACTCAATATATTAAGGTCTAGTAGCCAAAGGGAAGAAAAAAATGACGGTAGAGTTATTATTATCATTTTATTAATTTGCAACCAGTAGTGAAATGTCATAAGGAAGAAAGCTCTTTTTATACATTGGTCTTGGTTGATCTCAAACAAGCCATTTTATTTAACCTTTGTTTGAGTGTACATGAGTGTGCACATGTATTGCTCGGGTAAATATTGCATTTATCTCTGTTGCAACTTTTTTCCCCAACATAAAAAGACAGAAATAACAGCACCAGTAGTGGATGTTTTTTCCTTTTCTTTTAAAACCCAGTTTTCAGAAAACTTATATTTACAGTACCTGTGATTTCAGTGCACAAAGCAAGGGCCAGTATGTCTCTTTCTCTGAAATGCTGTAGCTAGTGCTGGAAAAAGACATGATTTTTCATTTTTTGTAAGGGCAAGGCTTCTTAGAAACATAAACTTTATTAGTACATTAATGCTTTAGAATCCCAAATGAATTCAAAAACCTAAATAGATTTAAATATTCTCGATATTATATGAAAAATGCTTGAAACCTAAAACAAAATCAGACCGAAAACATTTTCACCTTTTTTTCTCATTTAAAATGATGTGAGATCTGATTGGTGATTAAGATTAGAATAATGCCACCAACTGAGAAGCAACCACAAACTTGAGTACGTATGATAAAATTATAATAACTTAAGTTAGATTAGTATCCTTGATAGGGTCTATAAATCAGATAATTGAAATTAGAAAAAAAAGACAAAAAACCAACAATGATACATATAGCAAGTGGGAAATGAATAAATACAGTATTTAGAACTGGAAAGTCAACATTAATTTCTCTCATCAGGGTAAATTTAAGAAATACCAACGTTAAGTTACAGATAGTGTTTGGTAGCGAGTCAACTGTGATCAATCAGTTCATAACCAGAAATATAAGAAGATATGACAGAAGCAAAGTCTTGGAAACAGACTAAATACAGGGAAGTAAAAAAACACCTTTAATCACCGGAGGCCCTCACACAGCTCCATCGCTCTGCAAGACAAACATCAACAGTTTCATGTGGTTGCCGCTCAGAGTTGAATGCAATCTGTCATTCGCAGGTAGGTGTAATCTACAGACTAAATGTCAAGAGGCAATGCAAAACATCTTTACGGCAGGTCAGTTAAGAGTGGATACTAACCCCACAGCAGCCACAGCAGTCTCCGCACAGAGCTCCCAGCAGGCCATTCACCATCTGCACGGCACACAGTGCGGTCTGGATCAAACCCATCACAAGGAGCACAGAGAACAGGGACAGATTCCAGGACACCACGTTTTGTGGCTCTTGACATGTATCCCAGAGAGATTTGTCAGAAAGGTAGTCTCTGCAGGGAGTAAATGAGAAACACATTTTTAAATAAAAAGTAGTCACTCAAGGTTAACAGCAAGTTAATGTAAAAGTAGTCTACTATTACCAACTACATCCCCAATTAGCTTAAACCATTGGCTGATAGTTAATAGTCTTTATATTAATTTTGTGGCATGTCTTTTTATGACTTTTTGTGGTTTTAAAGCTTTTGTTTCAGGGCGATTATATCAAACTGTAAAGCAGCATGCGCAATTTTTTCTGAGATAGATGCAGAAACAAACCCCATTCCTGTTTTTGGTCTTTATAAAAATACACAAACAACATTTATGTGCTTTAATATGAATAATTTTTCAGTCTCACCCATCTGAAAACGGATAGCCCCAGTCCAGTGTGTTGTTCATGGTATTGTTGAACAAACACAATGGTCCTTGGTTGATGGACACAGAGGAAACTATAACTGAGTAACCAGCCCCCAAAACTCCAACAGCTGCAAACAGTATTGAGCTCAGCATCTATAGGGAGAAAATGATCAAAATAATATGATCAGAGATGTTGGGAGTCAATTAATTCAACAATGTTTCTTTGAACTCTTGAAACAATGAAAATATGCTGTCTGAACAAAGAGGCCAGGTTCAGAATCATAACCTTAACTTAACCTGCACAGAGCAGCTCAGATGGTATGCATCTGATCGATCAGTGTGTGGGTGTGTCTCCACCACCACAATACTACCTCTGTGAGAGACACCCGTGAAGTTTCCATCATGGCAAATGAAGGGTTATCAAATTTTAGTTATCATTTGTGTATGCAAAATCAATCAAACAAAAAAAACCTACACTAAATGTGTTAAGGGTGAAAACATGGATACATGGTCATGGTTGAAACTGGTTTATGGTTATCTGTAGTAAAAGGGCTGGGGTTAGCAACTCAGCGGTGATGGTTGGGGTTAAAACAAAGGGACAGGGAAGCTTTATTCCAATGGTTAATAATTACCTAGATATAAAAACATATTTGCTTTAATGAGTGTGTGTGTTTGCATTTATGGCTGTGCAAATCATGAAAAGGGTATACACAGTGCCATTGTGTTTGTTTTCCATTACATCCTCAGGGTGATAACGATGTACAATTAACAGATGACATGCAGTAAAGCATCAACCAAAATAGGTGGGGTGTACAGGGCGGCTGCTTTTATTCTGGGCTTTACTCTTTTTTTGTATGAAAACATAAACCAATAATTATGATATAACACAAAAGTTTAAATTGGATATGATATTCAACATTTTAATATTCTAATATTTTCCTCGTTAATATAGGCAACATATATTTAAAAAAATAATAATAATAATTGTGTGACGAGGTCTTCATTTCTGATTGTAGCTATATCTCACGGACTAACTTTTAATTCTACAGCTGAAACTCACCTTGTTGGTCTTTTTACAACCACACAGTCATACAGAAGATGAATTCGACTGAGAGGGCACTTTGTCACAAGTCAAACCAAGCATACATAGCTTTTTGTTATGTATCCCAAGAAATCACAACCAATTACAACTACTAAAAATGTACCTTTTTTGTAAAAACTGTTCTGAAACTAAATGAGTCACAGAAGAGATACTTTCATTTGCTTTCAGGCCACACCCTGTTGCAGGTTTGCACCATTCACACCTCAATGGCTGTAGACCCGGCCTTATAAAACCATTGCTGTAAATAATAATTTTATGGAAATACGATGCTTAAATGTTAAACTTCTCACCGCAAATCTCTCCCCACAGCTTTTGTTGCCACAGCAGCCACAGCAGTCATTGTTCTTCAGACCCAGGAAGACCAGTGCAGGGAAGATCATCTGTCACACACACCCAAAAATACCCCCCCCACCGAGTTCACACACACACACACAAGTACAACAGTTAAGTGGATGATGCATTTTGGGTTCCTTTATCGTATACACCTTAACTTCTCCATGCCCTGTCATAAAAGTACAGGATGGAACCTGAATTAAAAAAAATATGATCACGCTGATTTGACACATGAAAATCCCATAAACCCATTTAACATATTTCATACAAAAAGGGATTGGTGTAATATATATATTGCCCTACTTAAAAAGGTTTTGGTCCCACAAAAAATGAGAACTTGAAAGCTTCTATTTATTGAAGCCTAAAAAGAAACTAATTTGGTCCTCAGTGTTAGGTGTTGAGAAAACTTTCAGTTATGATTTGTATGAAATAAATTGGCACAATTTAACCAATAAATTGTTAATGAAAGGCGTAACTGATTAATCATTATTTGCCTGGTCTGTTTAAGTAGATACGTGTAATACTAATCTATTAACTATGACAGAGAAGCTCAGAAAATGACTTTCGCAACCCCAAAATACCAATTGGTCAAGAGACCATCATGTTATTTGATCATAATTGAACAATAACTCACCAGTACTCCTGATCCCAGAATACCTCCAAAGAACCAGACCTGCTGTGTGATATGTTCTTGCTCAACTGGTTTTCCACCCGGGAAGAAGAGCAGGATGTTGCACAGCACACAGACAATCGACAGAGGTATCAGGGTGATTCCAAGACATTTTGCAAAGCCTCCTGAACACATTTTGAATTAAATGGAAAAGTTTTCAGGTTATCTGAAAGATATTGTGATTTTGAGGATCAATTCAAGTCCAGTCGTTGTCCAAATTCAAGCAGGCCAGATGGAAGACGCTAAGATGTGGTGGAAAAAACTCCACCTGTGGCTTAAACCCAGAATTTATCTCCAGCTGCAGCTTCTCAACACCTCAACATATTTTCCCCTTCAGCGGTAGTGCTTTGCTGTTTTTTTTTATGTCTGAATTCACTGAATGATGCGTCTGCTTCACCTGTTCTGAATCTGAGGGTGGATGGTGCCTCATTTATGCCTTTATAGCTACCCCCGTCTCTTTGAATGATCTCATCACTATTTTTTACAACAACCACATGTAATTTAGCAGGAGCTCTCTCTCTCTCTCTCTCTCCCTCTCTTTCTCTCTCTCTCTCACACCCACACACACACACACACACACCCGCACACACAATGTGCAAACACTGAATACAGAGCACACAGATAACCATTAATGTAGGAATACATACCTGTGTGCACACACACTAGTGGGGACAGTTACCACAGTGGTTAATGTTTTACTACGCGTTTTGTTTACATGGAGGAAGTGTCAGACCGTCGGTCGATACAGCAGTGGCCCCATAGCTGAACAAAAGTTTAGCCTTTTCATCAGGAATGTCCTGTGCACATGCAGACGATTGCGATAAATCAATGAAATGGTAAAAAAAATATCATTTGGAATTTCAAAAGATTGTTGGACTTCATCCCTGTCTGGTGATCAATTCAAAGTGGTTGTTCCTCGTAGGCCAGTCAGGTTGGGTCAAAGCATTTGCAGATTTCAGTTTCATGAAAATGAGATGCATGTTTTTGTCTTATTGTCAAGTTCAGTTTCATTTCAGTTTGCTGATTGTCCTTTGCAAAATCAAGTCCTGTGTGTTTCTCATGAGGAAAAATCCCCCTTAAATCCTTTATTTCCATACTCTCAATGACGATTTACTGACTTCTGTTTAAAGTGGGCCTCATTAAAAAAAAGTCTATCCAAGGAGTTATGACCAACATTATCTTCAAAATATATGCAAACTAGAAAGATCAACTAACTATTGGTAATGAGTAAAGTCAAAAGTGTGTGCTGTGAAAGTTACCTTGTAAAAAGAGGTTTCTTTTAGCACTGAACATGAATAATTTGTAACCCTACCCTATACTCCTTTATGTCACTCTCCTACCAAGTGATATTGCTACCTAAAGTCCACAAGGAAGTAACAACGAATCATAATGTTATGTTATTATGTTTGCATGTTACCAAGGCCAACTGTTAGAGAGAACCCATGAAGAGGTTGAAAAAAGTTTGATTCTGATTTTTTAAATTACATCTTTTTTCAATGTAAAAATGCAGTGATTACAAAATAAAACTGGTCATACTGACATGTATGCCCACCATATATTGCAGTATTTGTAAAGTCATGTCTGCTGTATTCCTTGTATTACATGTTTAATGCGAACTGCAATTACTTGTGTCTTTTCCATCTGATTTTTCCTAGATAAGACGAACCAATACGTCTGAAAGAAATGGTAGGAGTGAAAATAATAGTATGCAAAGGTTCAGGAGTAGAATATTATGCCATTTGTATAAAATACTTTTTCAGGGAAGGCATTGGTTGTCTCAGGAAGCCAGTTTCCACATTATGCATGTCATACACCAGCATAACCCTGTAATAAAATTGTACAGCTGGCCTGCCTACACACTGGATGTGTAACTAGTTAAAAGCACAAGGGAGTTAAGAACAGACAGTGTATCAAAGGAAACGCACTAATTACGGTAATCAAGAATAGGAATATCTTTTGAAACGATGACAATCACACGTGCTAATCTTCCAACTACTTTTGACACATCAAAAAGTGCTTTTGAAAAGCTGATTAAAGAACTAAATTATTGGTAAAATGTATACAATTATTTGTAATTCTGTGTTTGTAAAAAGCCTAAAATTGTGCTGAACGTGGCTGTCAAGCTATTCAGAATGATCGACATATATGAATACCGATTGATGAGATCAGTGATCATCTTCTTTCTGTTAATTTACTTTCGAGACCAAACCAATCAATGACCTAGTAACCGATCTGAGGTAGACAGTCCAACACAGATTCAATTTATTCCGTTGCTTTCGCTGTTAATTCATCCGTCGTTACAGGTAGCTGGACCGAGATGGGCACCGACTTGGCTTTCTCTTCTCGTCGGTCTCCCGTGGTGTGTTTGCACGGCTGCGTGGCGTCCAGTCAGCCGTTAGCTTCGGATGTTGGACTGAGTGAGTGGAAAACTTGTTGCCATGGAGATGATCAACGGACCTGCAGCAAAGTGTTCGAAGCTACTTAAAAGTTGACTTTGTTCCTCTGAAACGTAGTTTTCTTTTAATTTGGACATGGTATTTATCAGAATTTGTCCAACAAAAGAAAACACAACCCATGCAATATGAGCTAACTTTTTTGTTAGCTTCTGTGTCATTAGCTGCTAGCAAGAACAGCTGGACCTGTAAAACGTGTCAGAAAGATTCCGAACGTGTTGCAGAGGCATTTCTGAATCTCTACAAGGGATATTTCCTTAATGTTCCCGTGTTATACTAATTTTTTATATCACACGATCGAGCGTTTAAGATTATAATTTGGATTAAATGTGATTACAAAATTGGATTGCTTGTTTTCTTATCCAACAGTGTTATTGCACATCATAACTGGACCAGATTGTCAGTGTTAGATAATTATATATAATTTTGTGAAGTTAGATGATGCTGCTGACAGAGCAGATTACTGTAAATTGTTCATATATTTTAAGTTATTAATGACTATATTCAACACATGTGGCAAACTGACATTCAAAATTTAAATATTAGATCCAACACTCTAAACCTGAGAAATTTGCTGGGGTACGATACTCACAAAATGTGGGCTTGAAATTAAAACTCTCCTCATTAAAAATACCCAGTCAAACAACAGTGTACCAAAAACCCGGCCCCGAAGTCAAAGACTTGTGTAAAAAAGACAGGATGCAAACATGACGAGTCATTTTCTTTATTCATCAGGAGAATGTTAAGATTTTGTAGCTTTCTTACCTGTGCACTCACCCCAGGTTCTTGTTCTTCTCCAGATGTCCTAAAACGTGGTGGCAACGCTGCAGATGCCGCTGTGGCCATAGCCGCAGCTCTCGCAGTAACTGAGCCGTGCAGCACTGGCCCTGGTGGTGATGCCTTCTGTTTGTTCTACAATGGAAACACTGGACAGATCACAGGGATTAATGGCAGGTGAGAACTTTTTGTTTGTCCCAGTTCCTTTTTCTATGCTAAAGAGTCATAGGCTAAGCATCTGTTTGTGATTTTAGTGGTCGTTCACCACAAGCCCAAACTCTGAACCTCCTGGAAGGACGTGGTTACACTGCAGAGACGCCTCCTTCAGCTTTTGATGCTTTGAACGTCACAGTTCCAGGGGCCCCCGCATGCTGGTGTGATACCGTGCAGTGGTTTGGAAGCAAAAAGGTGATAACATGATCATTTACATTGTATGAATATTTTAGTGTAAGCGTTAAAAACTTATGGTGTTGACGAGTAAATACACACAAACAGACCTGAAGGCAGGATATTTGACTTTATATCAAGTTGGGAATCTAAGGTGAAATTTTAACAGGTCGCTGTAAAAGCTTGTAAAGCTTTAAACAGCTGTACACAGTTGTCTTCAAATATGATAACCCACCATGTAGGAAGGTTTCTTCCACACTCTTCCAGGAAGTACTGAATGGATTTTCTGACTTTCCTTCAATAAAGAACATAGATGATAAAGTAGGCTATAAATTATTATTTTTTTAATTATAAAGAAATTGCACCATGACTGTTTCACTTCTGTTTATATCCAGATATTTTTGCATTGTATGGTTTACGAGTGTTCATCCAGTTTAAGATACTGTGCTGTGACCTAATAATAGAAATATGTAAACACACCGGATTTAATTACTAATAGTTACTTCCTTGTCAAAATATGTCTTTTGCAATATGGTGAATAATTCAAAGTTCCATTAACTAAAGGTGTATGGAATGAACATTTGTAAATTGGAAAAATGAATGAGTCTTGATTTTTAATTATTTTATGATCTTTCCTTACGCTCTTGTCAATTATTAAAGAAAACATAAATGAGTCAGTTTTTATTCCTCAGGAAAAACTGAAAATTGCAAATCAGTTTTAGCGTCAGACATTTCCTCTCTACATAATGACTCGCTCTTCCTGCTCTGCAGCGTTTCCTTAAAGGAACATCTGTTTCCTCTTGACTGCTTTCTTAGTTGTCCCTGCAAGACGTCCTGAGTGGAGCAGTGGAGCTGGCAGAGGCGGGGTTTCCTGTTGCAGAGGTGACAGCTCATCACTGGGCTAATTGGGAGGCTGCGCTCCGTGCTGCTGGGAAGGAACTAGGTGGAGACTTGCTGATTGGTGGTCATGTGCCCAAACCTGGACAAGTATTCAAAAATGGGGCACTTGCTCAAACCTTGAAGGTAAATCTACATCATACTATAAAATGTAGAATATATCAACATATCCTTTTCAACAGGAGCCAGTGCTGAACTGCCTAAAATATTTATGTCACTGATGGCCGCTTTTGCTCCAAAATATCTCTGGCTTAGTCAACATGTTTTCCCTAAAGTTACTATGATGTCTTTATATAGATTAGGGTAATAGTGGCCCTTGTGAAAATGATGCCTCTATTAGATAGATATTTGTTCTTGATGGTATGTTGCATTTGTCTAATCACCTTTCAAGTATCACTCCACCTGCAATTGATCTGTTTGCTTCTAGCTTCAGCTTGACTATAATGCTGAATTCGATGCTTGAAGGTGGGGGAAATTTATCATAGATTTTGTAGTTTTAAATCAGCATTGGCCAGACCCTGGCCCTGACGCTGTTGTTTTAACTTCACAAGAGGGAGTTTTTGCAACATAGGGCAGACTGTATCATCATTGTTTTACAAATTTATAACTGAAAATATCATATCTGAGATTTTCGCAGACGTGTGTACCATTCTATAATAGTTTTGATGTCAAATGTGACAGTATAACTTCTCACCTAAACTAAATGAACTGGACTTTTGTTTTTCCAAAAACTCACTTATCTTGTTCTACCTCTCCAATGATATCTATTTTCATAGAGCTAATCTCTTTCTGCAATTTCCTGCCAGTCAGAGTTCTGTCTAAAACTGTGGCTGAGGTCACTGTGACCCCAGAGTTCACTTTGAGTGTGGGTCATTGTGTATACGAATGCACGTGTATAACTAAGATATGCATACATTCATTTATTTCAGTCTCACTACATCAAACACTCCGTTGTTTGCAGTAAGGCCGGAAAACAGCTAAGTACACCCGTGACAGCATTTCATATTTCCACAGAATCACATGGGCTTGTACACTTATGTTTCTGAGACAGTAGAAACAATAGCAGTGACCTCAGCCCCAGTGATCGGTGGTCATTCCTCAGCGCTGACGGTGTGTCACTTCCTTACTCATTCAGTTACACACAGTCTGATTCATTTGATAACATCAATGACAGCATACAATGAGCAATGGTAAGCCCCCCCCGAACACAGGACATTTCTAGCATTACATCATGAGAGCCATCGTACTTTAAGTTCTTGAAGATATTAATTGAAAATTATTGGATGTATCAACAGGAGCTGGGTGAACACGGCAAACCAGGTTTCTACAAGGGCAGAGTGGCCCAAGCCATCGTCAACATTATCAACCAAAATGGAGGGGTCATGACTTTAAATGACCTCAGCCGCCATGACAGCGAGGTTGTTACCCCCATTAGTACGGAGTACAAGGTCAGCAAGCAGACACACCTACCACATCTGTGTTTTAATGATGCGGTCAGCAGTTGGGATGTCTTTATTGTACGATCAGGGTGTGCGCCTGTGGGAACTCCCTCCAAACAGTCAAGGCCCGGCAGCTTTGCTGTTGCTCAACATCTTGGAGAATTTTCCTCAACTAAAAGGTAACCACCAATAAATTGTAGAAATTCTTCCAAAATTTGAAAATTTGAAGCCGCACAGCTTCTCAAAAGTTCAGCCGAAGAGAATCTGGAAGTTGAATGAACCGAATTCCTTAAAAACTCTCACATTTTTGGCACACTGCAGATTGTTCCTGTGTTATGTACCGAGAAGAACAGACTCCAAAGCAGTGTTTCTGCAGTAATTGTAGGAGTTGTTGTTTCTGGAAGCTGCCTCCTGGGTTAAAAAGGCCTACAGAGCAGAGGAACACTGCAAACAGCCCAACCTATGACACTCTGAAACTCCTCAGATCCCTGTCTGTACCTGCATACTCATGATACTCTGAAAAATGCCAGATCTATAAAGGCCCCACCCTGTACCCCAAAAGAATTCTGTCAACATGACAATAAAGATAAATATGAGGGACCACCAGGGGCATGGGGCTTTACACAGCATCAGTGTGGTTTAAATTATGTGGCTGGTCTTTGCACAGTGTCTCTGCAGTATGTTCATGCAGAAATCTGAAGACCTTCTAGACCTTTGATGTGCAATAATACTTTTGACTTTGTGTGTGTTTGGTGTGTAGCTGTAGGTCATAATAAGGCTGATTACATCCATGTATTTGTGGAAGCTGTGCGGTTGGTGCTGGTAGATGTTTTGCATCACCTGGGCGACCCAGCCCATGTGACAGTCCCTTTGGAAACCTTACTGGACAAGAGCTATAGCCACCAGCGAGCACGGCAAATCAACATGGACAGGTGTGTGTCTCTGTTTGTGTGTCTGCTGGTACCACTGTGTACCAGGCATTCTCTGTTGACTTTAGATAGGACTGTGGACTTTTACATCCCCTGACCTTAAGAGCTAGCCCTTTATGTCTGGTCTCTGTCATACACAGGGTGTGTGGTTGTATATTTTGGCAGCAAGGTGCATTGAATGGTCAGTAATGTGGACTTTAGTCTTTATCAGTTTTAGAACAAATATAAGAACTGTAAAATTATAAACTGTGAGATGATGGTTACAAAAACACATGCATACATATTCTGTTGCGTTAGGCTTTAAAAACATTTCTGTTATTTTGAATTTCAGAGAAATGACTATATTCTACTGAGTTAATTTGTTGGGAACACGTTTATCCCAGTCCTGCTATAGTCTGTCTTCACAGCTTTCCCACTCGGTGACTGTGTGTCAACAAAAGATCATAGTACACAAGGCAACAGAAATAAGTTAAAACAGGAAATTACTGATAACATTTACTGCACTGTAATAATGTGCGTATCACTAAATAAACCAAAAGCTGCCCGGAAAGGTGTGTGAATAAAGGAAAACATGTCATCCATCATCTCATGTTTCTGTTGCATAAGAGTGGAGGTTTGGTTTCTCTTTATTTAGTTTGGTTTAGACCTGAGACCAGTACTCAGTTGACCATGGCAAACTTATTTCAGCTTGACGATCCACTTGTTTTTTTGTGTGTCCGCAGGGCTAACGAGCAAATGGAGCCTGGCCTGATGACAGGAAGTGACACAGTGTACTTCTGTGTGATAGACAGTCAGGGAAACGCTTGTTCATTTGTGAACAGCACCTTTATGGGCTTTGGGACTGGTCTGGTGCCGAAGGCCTGTGGATTCTCACTGCAGGTCTGGAAGCTCAGCTACTGGACGTTTTTTCCATGTGTGCATGTGATGACTGTTTGCATTGAAATTGCATTTGCATCGAAAGTTTCATGTTTCATGTTTCATGTTGTCTGTTAGTAACTGTTAGTGTGAGAGACGTGTTAGTAACACGTCTCTCACACAGATTGAAATACCATAAGCTTTTTTTTAGACTGCTTTCTGATACATGAAAACAACAAAGAATGGTTAAAAATGTTTAAAATAGAGTTTGTTATGCCTCCGTTTCCCCCTCTCTTAGAATCGCGGTGCCAGCTTTTCGCTGCGTCCTGACCACGCTAACTGCGTGGCTGGTGGGAAGAGGCCCTTTCACACCATAATTCCTGCACTCCTAACTGACTGTGCGACCAACTTGCAAAGGCCACAACTGCTGGCTGCGCTCGGGGTGATGGGGGCTGTCATGCAACCCCAAGGACAAATCCAGGTATGCAGTGACTGAGACAGACAGGCAGAGATACACAAAGAGTATGGTGACACAATATCCAGCACAACTTTAATTTCTAATAGGAAAATAGTTTATTTTTTCTCAGATAAGTAGTCAACTTGAACATAGTTGTGTGGAACTAGTTTAGCTTTGTATGTTCTTCTGTATATTCTGTGATCATGCTCTTCTCTTAAGGTGCTGTTGAACATGTTGGAGTTTGGGATGAATCCCCAACAAGCTCTGGATGTACCACGAGTCTTTGTGCAGTATGAAAACAAAAGTATGCATGACACGCATCCACTAATACACACAATCAAAAAGAGTCAGTGTGTAAGCTGCAGCAGAGCCACCAGCCTTTTTTTAATCACAAGATTTGTTGCTGAATCTGCATTTAAAGTTTGTGTCTCCTTAGGCACACCATGGTAACCACATTGTGATGTGTTTTTGTAGCAGATCAGTGGTTGGTTAATTTGGAAGAGGGGATCGATGAGGAGGTCGCCAAGGAGCTGAGAAGACGGGGCCACAACGTCAACTGGCCGGTCACAGGTACTTTGTCTTTCTACAAAAGTAACACTTTTTAAGAACTATATAATGTAATTTAAAACATGTTTAAATGATAGAAAACAATTTGAGAAAAAACCCCACCAACAATGACTGTAGCCACAGTAACCAATGTTTTCCTCATTCATTTCAACATACAAATGACTTTGAGTTAATGTGTCACGTTAATTCTTATATTGAAGGGTAGTGTAGTGTCTTCTACAAACAAATCGCAGCGTCATATGTCATAAATTAGATTCTATCAAACATCCAGTTTCTCGCTGTGAGCTGGACGTTTGTGCTTGTTCCTCTGCCTCTCTGAGAGAGATACAATAAAACTTTATTTCCTATTTATTAATTTCACACCATTGTCATTGGTCCTCAGGTGGATTTATATTTGCGTTTTTCATCTGATATCGAAGCTGTCGTCATGCGTCCTATTTGAAATTCTTTATAGCTTGCTAAATATGAAATATTAATTGTATGTTTACTACTTGAATCATCTTTTCTTAATTGTATTACTATTTCAAACATTTTTTAAACCTTCACCTTAAAGACTGCATTTTATTTCTTTGTACCCGGGCACTGACTATAAAGATTCAAATATATTCAGCTGCAGTTATAACTATGAAACCTTCATCTCTTGATTTTCTTGAACTGATGCTGTTTGTATGTCATAGTAGCATTTTATTACTGAATAGTCTGATGGGTTCAAAATATGTTTCCTTTCTCTCTGGCTTTCTGTTACACACAGGCCACCAGAGGTCTCTGTTTGGGCGGGGTCAAATCATCACAGTGGGTGATTGGTGGAATCCGTCTGCGACTCAAGCAGATGCTCCATCCAGAGTGCTGTGGGCGGGTTCTGACCCCAGAGCAGACGGCTGCGCTCTGGGATACTAGTCACACAATGATCAGACAAATAAACACTGAACCTTTTTAGGATAATATTCTTCAAATAGTTCTTATTTTAGATTTGATGTTTTATATTTTTTCTAATTAAGCTTTATAAAACATCCATATTATTTTAGAGTGGATATTTGGGAAAGGACTGTGTTTTAGCAGTGAACTTTCACCTTCATGGGGTGCCTTATTTCTTTGTTATATGTTAAGAGGTCACATGCATAAAACTTACTGGACAACACATTAACAATAAACAATTAATGAGTTTATTACAGTGCATTAAAAAGAATTATGACTGCTGCCCACACAAATTGGAGCTGTTATTTTACGCCCTGAAATAAGTGCACTGTAATTTGTGTTTAACTTGATTAGCTACAGCGTGAAAAAATAAATACTTCTGAGATACTCAGATTGTCAAAACTGTAATGTGTTGCTCTGTTTAGATTAAGCAGTTCTTTTTTTACATTGTTACAGGTAATTGTAATTGTAAGTTTCATACATGATAACACGAACATGGATCACTGCCTTTTAATCCAGGACTGAATGTAAATTCCTAATAAATTTTGTCTATTTTTTCAGCCGTAAAAAAAACTGCAGCACACAAAAACACGGCTGTGTTGGTAAACAGCTTGAAAACCTTGTGCTCCCTCTAATTCACTGCTCAAACACTTACCACGCAAACACAAATCTCTCAGTCTTGGACTTTGTTACAGCGTTGATCTCCTTACAGCTCCAAACTACACTGGTACCACCTGTTTGTGAGGATGATAGGCCCTGTCACTCAAACACACACTTAGTGTTTTTAGCAAAATATACTCAAATGGCTTGCCAAGGGCATCGATGGTAAATTCTAATTTACTTTGCACTTTATCCGAATGTGTTGTGTTCCTTTTGGAATACGAAACGGCTCACAGTGAGCTGGAACCCTGAGCTCACACGCTTCCAGAAGTCTGTCACCTCTGTGCCCGACACAGTCCTACAGAATTCTTGCATTCCAGACTGTGGAGGAAAAGTGTTTTTGAATAGCTGGTATGGCTATCAAGAAACAATTCAACAATTGACGAATAGGAATTGGCGGTCCCTCAGACACTCCTGCTTTCTGTGCTCCAAGTATATTTAATTTCCTCTACATGAGACCTGTTTTCAGTTGGATACGGTGGATACGTTCAGTGGATTATGTATTCGAGCTGCACAGCTCCACAACCAGTCTGCAGATAAAATGAAACCAATCTGTAAAAAATGCACAGAAGGTGAAAGAAGAATAAAAACAAAACATTTGTCTTTCAAAACTCCCCATGTTTATCATTGAAAGAAGAAGATATACATCTCAGAGCAAAACCTACCCCTTGCTTCTTTTGACATTTGGTCATTTTTGAGTCTCAACATTTCTGTGTTTAATATTTGAGAATCAATTATCTAAAATCACTGAATTATATTGTTTAAATCTTTGAATTCTGCTTATTTCTTTCTTGTCACATCAGCCGTCATGTATAATTCTGTTGAAAATGCTAATTGCTGCTTGGATGTATTTAGACTTTTACTTTATAACTTTTTGCACCATGTTGACTAAAGGGATTGGGAAGAAAATGTACTTTGTATTTAAAGACGTTGACCAGCTGATGTGACTCTTAGGGAAAATTAAGTATTTCAAGTGCTTTGTGAGGCCCGGCTTTCTAAGAGCTTGTGGGAGACACAGTTACATGCATACACACAGTCTCACAGTCTCACAGAATTTTTAGATTTGTGGCTGAGCTCTGTTCAGCCATTGGTCAGCCCCCCCCCCCCTTTTAGTGTGCTTCCTCACGCCTGTTTAGTTATGGCAGAAACCCCCCTTGTAAGAGAAGGAGAATTTGTCCAAGTCATACACAATAGCTCTGACACACCATTACACACGTATACGGCAGGCCCACATCATTTTGTCGTCTTCTGGCTCCACAGCCTCTCTGTTCTCCTTCCTCTTGTTTCCTTCCTCAGCCCATTCTAGCTCTCTCCTCTCCTCTCTGTGGTTGTGATTTTGTTTCTGGGTTAGCAATGTGTTGCTCGGTGGGTTTTGCCCGGTCCTTGGGCCTGGCTCTGCTGCCGCTGGCCCTCTGCTGTATTGTGGCCAACCTGCTGCTGCTCTTTCCAATGGGAGAACAAAGCTACATCCAGGATAACCGGCTGTCTGTTTACATCTGGTATTTTGGTGGACTAGGAGGTGGTGGGCTGTTGGTGAGTAAATCGTCATCACTAGTTGATTCATTTTCTATGTCAAGATGTTTTTGGTTGATTTTGTTTGGTTTTGCTATACATAAAAGTGAAACTAAATCGAGGACGTTAACTTCAAACTACACTCTCATAATTTCCTGTTTATATTCACTTTCCACATTTACCAAGCATCCAGGCACAGCATGACCATCTGTTTTAGATATTAGGTACTTGCTTTGAACTCATCCAGTCAGATCTTACTGTCATCATTTGGTCTAATGGCTATGTTTAAACTAACTTCATGTAATGAGTGACAATAGATTTTAGGAAAAAAAATAATAATTTTTTGCCCCTCATCATTTTTCAGCTTCTTAAATGGGTGGGTACAGTTGCAGTGACACTTATAAGTAGTTTTGATCTGGACAATAAGCAGGGACTAAAAGACTGTGTCGACAAACAAATGACTCTGTGCTTCTGGTGATTTTGTCTGTTCATTTCTTTAATTTGCTATAAGTTCATACAACCATGAGAATATGGAAAAATAGTGAAAATATTTGTTGGGATTAGACATTTTTCATTGGAATATTGAAACTAAATTAAATAAATTATTTGAAAGGATTTTAGTCATAGAACTCAAAGGCTCCCCACTCAAAAAGCACTGCTGACAAAATCATTTAAAAAGGTTTCATGGTTGCTGATCAGAAGTGTAACCTCCCTTCCTGCCTTATCCAGTGGAGACCACTGGTGCATGCAGATACAGCAGCTTCTCACATTGTGGACTGACACACCCTTCCCTCCATATTATTTCAAATGGCCTCTTTCTTAATGTCTTAAGTCAGTTTGGTAGATGGCTTTTGCCTAAATAGCTAAATAATGCTAGTTGTTAATTGTTTCTATTTGACACCATGCTGTCTGATAGAGCTTGCACTTGTCCATGGAGAACAATGGAGTGCTGTGTGAGTCCACAATTAATCCGTCTGCGCTGCACGCTGCTGATCTGATGGGTTTATGCTCTAACAGAGCAGAAAGGAGCTGTTCTTTTAGTTTTCACAAGTGACCAACAGAGGACAGATTGTGTTTTTCAAATGAGATTAACTTTGTTGACAGGCAAAACACTTGTGCAGCAAATGATCACACTATTAAAATAGTTTGTCTTTGAAAATAGCAGAAGAAAATATTTAATATCCCACTTTAGGGGTAAACCTAGCACGATGTGAGAGCAAGAGGCTCTTTGTTTATTTGTCTCTGTGGGGCCAGGCTTTATTGATAATGTTAATGAATTGATACTCAAACAAGTGACATTTAACCTTAAATTCCAAGGTTGGATAAATGTGCCTCAACTAGCTTATTTTCTTTTTAGACAGTTACTTTCTTTGTTTTTGAAACTGCTGAAAACAGGACATTCATCTGCCAAATGTGAGAGACATAAATCAATATCTGTGCAGCCCATAGTCTGACATGGTGGCTTTAATCTTTTGCTAAGTGCAAACCTAGCTTTATACAGGAGAAATGCAACATTCTATTTGTAATGATAAAATGAATGTTCAATTATGAAAAGATGACCACTTGTGACTGTCTTGAGTTCTTTGGAGGTATCTATTATGAGAAGAAAATTAGCTGCCTAACATCTGCTGAGGTGTTTATTGGAGAGTTTTTAGATGCTTAAATCTGTCCTTGGTTCAGTTTTATGTTTTCTTCTGTCTAAGAAAACATGTTTTTTTTGTTTAGCCCCTTTGACCTTTTTATTTCTTTAAGGAAATGACAGGATGCCACAAAGTCAAAGAGCAAACTGGACCCCTCTGAGACTAAGTTTATCTTTAGCTCAGTCCCTTCCTCTCCCTTATGCTTCCTCCCTCTTTTCCCCTTCTATCTCCCCTTCTCCCTGTGCTCTTCCCTTAAAGTCATCAGTCCCTCTTTCAACTTCTGCTTTAGGGTGACATTCAGGATATGTGACTGTCTTCTGAAGCTTGTGTATCTCCATGTGTGTAAAACCTTGGGAACTTCCGTCCTTCTGTCAGGATGTGATTTAAAACCTATGGGAGAGAAATATTTAAACATATACAGTGGGGCAAAAAAGTATTTAGTCAGCCACCAATTGTGCAAGTTCTCCCACTTAAAAAGATGACAGATGCCTGTCATTTTCATCATAAGTAAACCTCAACTATGAGAGACAAAATTAGGAGAAAAAATCCAGAAGATCATATTGTCTGATTTTGTAAGAATTTATTTGCAAATTATGGTGGAAAATAAGTATTTGGTCACCTACAAACAATCAAGATGTCTGGCTCTCACAGACCTGTAACTTCTTCTTTAAGAGGCTCCTCTGTCCTCCACGCGTTACCTGTATTAATGGCACCTATTTTAACTCCTATAAAGAGTATAAAAGACACCTGTCCACAACCTTAAACAGTCACACTCCAAACTCCACTATAGCCAAGACCAAAGAGCTGTCGAAGGACACCAGAAACAAAGTTGTAGACCTGCACCGGGCTGTGAAGACTGAATCTCTAATCAGTAAGCAGTTAGGTGTGAAGAAATCAACAGTGGGAGCAATTATTAGAAAATGGAAGACCTACAAGACCACTGATAATCTCCCTCGATCTGGGGCTCCACGCAAGATCTCACCCCGTGGGGTCAAAATGATCACAAGAACGGTGAGCAAGAATCCCAGAACCACACGGGGGGACCTAGTGAATGACCCGCTGAGAGCTGGGACCAAGGTAACAAAGCCTACCATCAGTAACGCACTACGCCGCCAGGGACTCAAATCCTGCAGTGCCAGACATGTCCCCCTGCTTAAACCAGTCCATCTCCAGGCCCGTCTGAAGTTTGCTAGAGAACATCTGGATGATCCAGAGGACGATTGGGAGTATGTCCTATGGTCAGATGAAACCAAAGTAGAACTTTTCGGTAAAAACGCAACTCGTCGTGTTTGGAGGAAGAAGAATGCGGAGTTGCATCCAAAGAACACCATACCTACTGTAAAGCATGGGGGTGGAAACGTCATGCTTTGGGGCTGTTTTTCTGCAAAGGGACCAGGACGATTGATCCGTGTGAAGGAGAGAATGAATGGGGCCATGTATCGTGATATTTTGAGTGAAAACCTCCTTCCATCAGCAAGGGCACTGAAGATGAAGCGTGGCTGGGTCTTTCAGCATGACAATGATCCCAAACACACTGCCCGGGCAACAAAGGAGTGGCTTCGTAAAAAGCATTTCAAGGTCCTGGAGTGGCCTAGCCAGTCTCCAGATCTAAACCCCATAGAATATCTTTGGAGGGAGTTGAAAGTCCGTGTTGCCCAACGACAGCCCCAAAACATCACTGCTCTAGAAGAGATCTGCATGGAGGAATGGGCCAAAATACCAGCAACTGTGTGTGAGAACCTGGTGAAGACTTATAGAAAACGTTTGACCTCTGTCATTGCCAAAAAAGGGTATATAACAAAGTATTGATATGGACTTTTGTTTTTGACCAAATACTTATTTTCCACCATAATTTGCAAATAAATTCTTAAAAAATCAGACAATATGATCTTCTGGATTTTTTCTCCTCATTTTGTCTCTCATAGTTGAGGTTTACTTATGATGAAAATGACAGGCATCTGTCATCTTTTTAAGTGGGAGAACATGCACAATTGGTGGCTGACTAAATACTTTTTTGCCCCACTGTACCTATAAAGGAAAAGGGGAGGAAGAGATAAGCAACATGTTATTTCTGATCCAGACATATATTTGATAGCTTTAAGTAAAGTTAGTGTTTGGACCAGCAATATTCAGTTGGGTGTAATGTGCATATTTGATGATATCATTACACTGTACAAACTATTCATAGATGTTCTTTTCTTATAGATTAGAAATCTAGCAGCAAGGGGGTGTTTTGGTTCTATCTTAAAAAGTACTTAGCAACATATCTGTCTCAGTATTTTGGGGGGGAAAACTCTCAACCAAGCAAGAGAGTGGAGTGAAGGAACAAAATAAATAATTAATTGTATCTAGAGCAGAAATGTTCTTTCCACCAGTACGTGTGTATGTCAGCATACCTCTAAGTCTTAATTGGACATGTGACAGTCTTAGCACATTTTTTTACATTCTGTAGAATAGGTTGGTGTTCTTATGTTAACTTGCCCATGACAAGCTGAGACAGACAAATGCATTATAGAGTTAAGTGTAAACCTTTTTTTTTTTTTTAAATTGTGTTGTTAGATTCTGGTGTATAGTTTCATATGTCATGCACTTTTTGGGGCATTTTGCAATTTGTGTCTCACGCTCAAACTTCTGCTCAATAACTTTTGTCACATTTTTTGTAACAATATAAAGACAGACAAAAATGTAAATGGACAAAAACTAAAAATGAACTGCAAAAATATGTGTTTTTGCTTAGAAACTTTCTGTTCTTACAGATGCTGATACCAGCCGTGGTTTTTATTACTCTGGGGAAATGCAAATGTTGCTGGAATGAGAGTTTAATGGTAAGAGACATGTCATCCACAGTCACAGTAAAACAAACTTTCATGTTTCACATTTGACACTAAAAACTCATCAATTGCTGTTTTTTGTGTTTGTAATTTGAATTATTTATATATGGACAGTAGAAGGTATCTCCAAACAGCATTTTTATTTAATTACTAATTTGAAGTCTATATTTGCTCACCACTTGAAGAATAATACTCTAAAGTTGTCATTAAGCAAAGGAGCACTGGGTTGCTGGGGGTCTAATACTAATCCAAGTATGATCGTTGAACAAGGGTTCCATTGTTAGGTAATGTGCAACAACGTGAGACGGGCTGACACAATTCAAGCCACATGCACAGCTGCCCTTGTGTGTGTGTGGCAGCTGCCTCTCTGTGCCATGCATGAAATGGATGAGTGAATCAGCTAACATTCACTCATACAGACAGAAAGTCACACAACTGCACATTCACATAGGCGTCAAAGCATGTGCTGATTCTTCTTAAAAAATATCTCTGTGTGTTGCTCCGCAGATGTGTGGATCTGTGCTGGCAGCTGTCATCGGCCTGGTGGGGTCAGGGTACTGTTTCATCATATCGGGGTTCGCCTTAATGCAGGGTCCCTTTTGCTTCACTTCGTTAGGGTGGACAAATCCCTTTGCAGAGCAGGGCGGCAGGTAAGGGCAAACTATACTGTGGTGCCAACTGAGTCATGGATATACATGGTTTTTAAGGCATTATTTAATCCTGCTGCCAAATAATCCTTTCAACAAAACGCAAAGCACCTTTTGAAAACCTTTTCAAACAGTTTGTGACACCTGTATTCTGTGCTAGTCATATCACTACTCGTGCAACATCTTGATTAGTCTTGGAATAAGGTTCGGTTGCTCTCTTGTAAGGTCAACAATAGAAGACCTATGTGGACATCTCAGACAAACTGCAACCAAATAGATGTTGAGTTTTGATGCGCACAGATGTCAGGAAGTACAACACAATCTCACAAGCTATAACCGCTGGGAATCTTTGCATGCTGCTGTGTGAGATGTCACAATAATGTTCCAGTGACAAAATTCCCCAGTGGCTGTAAACCAGAGGGACACCTCGAGCTCCATCTCCACAACAGGACGAGGGGCAGTAAAGTAAACTGGCAATGTTTACATTCATGAGAAGAAGAAACGTCACCTTCTAAATGTCTTCTTATCTCTTTTACTGAAGGCTCTGTACTTTCTCACACTGCAGTTTCAATCAGTTTAGATGATATCACAGTTTTATTGAACAGAGCCACATGTCATAATCATAGAATTGTTTATTTGATTTGTGGTTTTGTTTTCACAGTGAGGATACTTTAATTTCCTTTTAACTTAATCAGCAACTGCAGCTTTGACTTCTTCCGTGTTTCTTCCCAGCTGGTGGAAGCAGGCAGAAACGGTCCTTTTTCAGTGTTATGTTTAGAAACAACTACCATGGCGATACACCTTAAGTTAAGCAGCCTAATAAGTTATAGTGAAGTTTCTTTTCCAGGTGAAAATTTCATAACACAGCTACAATCTGTAATCTACATCACAAAAAACAGCACTTGGGAATTTTGTCACAAGCATTTCTTTTGTTTTTTCCACTACTTTGAGGTTTTCTTATTTACTGAACATGTTGTATTTGTGTCTCAGATATCTTTTGCAGCCAGAGACTTGGTCACGGTGCATTCAGCCAATTCACATCGTAGAGTGGAACATCGCTCTGCTGTGTGTGTTACTGGGCATTGCTGTGCTGGAGTTCATCATCTGCCTCCTACAGCTGGGAAACGGTTTAGTCAACGCCATCTGCCGGCCATGCTGCTACAAGCAGCAGTACAGTCTAAATGCTTAGAGGGGCACACATGACCAACTTCAATGGAAAAAAAACAAACAAACAATAGATACCAGAAAGTGTGTGAATTCCCACAGAAACCCATCTACAAATGTGTTATAATAAACATGTGACAGCAATGTTAGTTATACACAATCACTATAGTCTCATGTTTCCTGTAAAGGAGGCACAGTAACAACGTGGTAGATGATGACACAATACTGTGTGTGTTGTGTGTCTCCTAACAAATTATCTTAAATGTTGAAGAAAATCAACTTAATTTACTGAAATGGTGGAAGGACATTCATCTGTCAAGTGTGAGAGAAATAATGCAAAATCTATGATCATCTTTCATGATTATTTAAAGTGTACTGCATAATAAGTTGAGAGATGTGATCACAGAGTTGTGATAGAACAATGCATAAATCATGGAACAGCTGCTCTCTATTTTATTGCTACTTCATACTTTGTAAAGTACCTTACAATCCAATGAACACACTGTCGTGTTGTCCCAGCATGAACAAAGATCCTGTATTTAAACTACATGACTGGATCCATTTATTAGTAATTTGAGCAGTTTTTAACTGTCTGCTTGGACTTTAGATCAGAGTTTGCAGGAATGTCTTAGGGCTTAGACATCATGATTTGGTTTTGTGAATGCACCATCTGATTTACACTTACCTAAACTGAGGTGTCCTGTCTTTTAAGGTCTACTTTGTTGTGTTTTTACATTTGTTTTAATTTACACAGTATTTCATTGTACATTTCTCCCTCCATGTCTTACTTTTTGTTAGCTTTTGTCTAAACAGACATTTTGTCTTTTAGTGACATATTTTTTATAATGTGTGGTTTATTTGTGCTGCCTTGAATAAAATATCTATTTCCATTTTATATGTCCAGTTTTTGAGTTCCTTATGTCTTCCCCGCCATATCAAAATGTCAAATATGTCCTAAACCCTGAGATGCTGGTTCAGTGAGAGGGTGATACCACAACAAAGGGAACGTATGCAGGAGGCATGTCCGTCCCTCTGAAAAGCTATGCCAGGCTGCGGGCAGTAGATGGTGCAACGGGCTTTGTTTTGTGAGGGAAGAATCCCACTGTGAGCAGGAAACGAAATATGCTTGCTGTGCATATAGCAGTTTTTCCCATCAGAAAAGATTAAATAAATAGGCTCTCTCAGTAATAAACAAAAGGGCTTGTCTGGTTTGTCTTTCATTTCATCTCATAGATGACAAAATACTTCCATCAGCCATGCTGTGTTGTTTTCAATACACATTTTTAAAAATACCTTCTTCTGGCTTTCACAAAAAAAAATCATTTTAATACTAATCTCTATTTGAGATCAATCTCATGATCTGTTCATTGAAGGATACATATGATTTAAGCTGGTTCTTGTGCTGAAGTGCTGCTTTTCTGGTACAGTAACCTAAAACTGTACCTATATAGCTGGTTGAAAAAATGGCTTTTGTTTTTAAGAAATAACTGATTGGGTGCAAAAGGGCAACTCACCATGATGTTTCCAATTTATTTTAGCAGGACTTAGAGGAGAAAAAATGTTCCAGACATTGGCCAATAACGTAGCTGCCTGGTGTCTTGTAAACAGTTCCTGGACAATGTGCTGGACTGGACTTTCCACAGTTGCATGTTATTGATTTGAACCAGGCTCCAAGTTGAGTAACTGCTGCCTTTAACCTTGACAACAAAATACGTCATCACCATAATGTGGCTTTGTAAGGTATTTTCCCTCCCATTCAGTGACTTTATTCTTGATGGAATGACATAAACATTTATTTAAATTAAATTGAAGTCATACTTTTGTACTTTAATTCTGAAACCCCATTAGAGAAATTAAACAGCCCATGATTAGCATTGTAGCAGGGATAGTAATCTGTACTTTAAATGCTGTTGTTTTTTCCTGATTTGATGTCATATAATGACCTATTCTATTTGAACTGATCTACAAACACAGAAAAACATTATTGAACAATGTACTGTTTATTGCTCACAAAGCTACATCTTAATTTTTCCTAATGCAAATCTATCCCCTTACAGTCAAACAAGTTTTAGTCAATCTAAAACTGTTCTGAATCAGATTTGACAAAGTTACTTTAAAAAAAAAAAATTAAAATAGAAAAAAATATAAACATCACAACTTCATTTGAAATAGGACATGGATGTCACATGGTTAATATTTACAAGTTGGAATGTGTTTCTTATGTAAGCCTGACCTCTTTGTTGGTTTAGCCCAAATGTCTTTTGATGTCTGACCCTTTTGCCCCATTGGCTTATTTCAGCAGTGTCAACCTGGACTTTAAAAAGATGCGCAGCCTGTGCAGTTTGAGCCACATCGATTGACAGGTGACTGGCGGTCTGAACCATTGTGTGTTCTTCTTTATTATTATTGACAGAAGAAAGGACTCATTGTGTCTGTTAGTTTATCCTTCCACTTACATTTCTAGAAGCAGACCTGGGATAGCTTCAAAATGCAAAGACTAGAGTTAAAAGCTGTGTTACTGTTGTGCTACTCAGTGATATGTATTTCTGGCATGAGAAGAGAGTACAATCTCAAGATTGAAGAGGTGACTTGGAACTATGCACCAAGCGGCAGGAACATCATTCAGAACTGCTCACTACAGGACGATGAGTGAGTACAGGCTTCACATGGTCTTGACTGAGATACAATGTTTGATTTTAAATAATCAAAGCGTTAATGATACGTAAACATGTTGTCTAGAATGATTGGGATTCTGTTGATAACTTCGGAGTACGGTCTGCTATATTAAGAACTTTGAGGAGACTTTCAAACATTTTTGGTGAAAGGGAAAATTAACTTCAGTATTCCATATCTCCCTGGACTAAAGGACAGCCACGAAACAGAGCTCATGATTTGTTTTCTCTCTGTCTGTATCTCTCCATAGAGATGCAGCTGTTTTTTTGGTTAAAGGCCCCCAGCGTATCGGCTCTATCTACAAGAAAGCAGTTTATAAGCAATACAGTGACACTACCTACAGGACAGAAATTACAAAGCCAGAGTGGCTGGGTTACCTTGGGCCTCTATTGATGGCTGAGGAGGGAGATACAGTGATCATCAACCTAAAAAATACAGCAACCCGACCTTTCAGCATCCACCCACATGGACTTAACTACAGCAAAGGCAACGAGGGTGAGAAAAAAGCATACTAATCAAATTTCAGCCATGTTTTGTTAGATTTGAAGTGCATGACTCTGTGTGGTTTCCTGCAGGAGCTTTGTATCCAGATGGCACAAGTCATCTGCTGAAGAGAGATGATGCAGTAGCCCCGGGTGCAATGGTGACCTATGAGTGGACCCTTCCAGAATCTCACGGCCCAACGACTGAGGACAGTAACTGTATGACCAGGTTCTATCACTCGCACGTGGCCCCCCCCAAAGACATCAGCTCAGGGCTGATAGGACCCCTTCTCATCTGCAAGAAAGGTACCTTATCAAGTGTACTATATCTGATTGATTTAGAGCCTTTTTAAAGGCCTCTGTCAGACACCTTGAGATATTTAACTTGAGTGTTCAGATCCTTTGACAATTTAATATTTTAATTCAGTGTTTCCCAGAGGAATGATGTACTTCTAGTTCAACGAACCTATGTAACAATAGTGTATTTTCATTTGCAGTTTAATATCATTCAATCTTATTGGAAGGATGATGTTATTAATATCCTACATTATTACATTTGAATAAATTCAGATGGATTATGAGTGCTTCATGCTGACGCATTCAACTCATGCTGCTGCTTTTGTTTTTCTTTTGTAACACGAATGTAACAATGTATTCCGCATATGATAAATATCACTGAGTTATTTCTTGCACAATTAACGTTATTGAACCAATTGTATTTGAATGTGAACATTTCATAATACAGTTTAAGGATTTAAATGCTAATAGATGTGTATGGTTCTTTATCCTTTGCTCTGTAGGAACTTTGGACATTCATGGAGACAGTTCAGCAGACTACACGTATGCTTTGCTGTTCATGGTGTCAGATGAGAACTTCAGCTGGTATCTGGATGAGAACATCAAGACACACATCGCCACTCCGGCCAAAGACCTGAAAGAGGACGAAGATTTCATTGAGAGTAACAAAATGCATGGTAGGGCGGAAACATTAGTCCCAGACATGCATGCACATGTGCACGCACTTATGAATGAAAGAAATGTGCTATTTATCACTTTGCATGTGTGTTACAGGAATAAACGGTTTTCTGTATGGGAATCTTCCTGGGCTGAGTATGTGTCAAGGCAACAAGATCAACTGGCACATGATAGGTTTAGGAAATGAGGTAACAACAATGATCTGAACTTTAACCAACAGTGTGCAAACAGACCAAATGTAAACCTGCTGACTATTTACATATGTGTTATTCCGCACATTTTTGGGTTCAGTCGGTTTAGTCAAAGAACAACACTAAAATGACTAGTGCTTTTTTAATGTTCTCTGCCACTTATGTTGTGGAGCTTTAAACTATGGTAACATTAATAAACAACAACTTGTGAGTACAGGTCTTAAAATGAGCAGAATTGATGTGCTCTTTTAGTTTCTTTTAGGTTCTCTTTTAGGTAATACTTTAATCAATTTTTGCTGATTTGAGAAAAGATATTAAAGAAAAAAGTGTTTTTTTATTTATGCAAAGATTTGTTATTTATCTATAGGTGGACATGCACTCAGTTCATTTCCATGGCCAGATCCTTACCACTCTGAACCACCACACGGACATGGTCAGTCTCTTCCCAGCTTCCAGCACCACTGCTGAAATGGTGGCTGACAACCCCGGGCACTGGCTGCTCACATGCACCGTCAATGACCATCTGATGGGTGAGAACATTTACTCCAGACTCAACAATCATCCCATCAAACTGATGGAGGACAAGTACATTCTTACTGTCTTTTTTTGCAGTAATATTCACTATTTTATATGTGTTTTCACATGTGGTTGAATCTAGCTGGAATGCAGGCTTTATTTGAGATCAAGAAGTGTTTCCCTAACGTCCATAAACCCCGACCACATGGTGAGCTCAGACAGTACTTCATTGCTGCTGAAGAAGAGGTCTGGGACTATGCTCCTACAGTGCCGAATGATAGGTTGGTTTCCAGATGCACACACACGATTTTACGCTGACAAGAGGCCACTTTTTCCCCATAAGAATCTATCTCAACTCTCATCTGCATTTCTGTATGCGGACAGTGAGGCAGATGAGTTTGTAACCAGAGGTCCAAATCGCATTGGAAGCCATTACAAGAAGGTTCGCTATGTGGAGTATACTGACAAAACCTTCACCACAAAAATGCTACGCGCCCCAGAAGAGAAACACCTCGGAATCCTGGGTAATTATACCTTAATTGCTATTTTTGATGTTTTGCCCAATCCCAATGTTTCTAACCTTCTCAAGCTGAAGAAATAAATAAAATAGTCTAATTTACTGTACTTTGACTTCACAAGACTGAACTAGTAGGCCTACTTTGAATTTTTTTCTTTAAAAGTGTAGAGCGTGTTTATTATGTTGAGTCTTATGGAGGTAGCAGGTTAACTTTTGTTAATTTCCCCATTTTTTTAAAAATATCTGGGTGAAACAGTCTCACCCTCACATACGCCTTTGAGATACATTTTCAACAACTTTTTTGTTTCTGTGTCTCTTCTTGCTGGTACTCTTCAATGTCTCCAGGTCCTGTGATGCGAGCCGAAGAGAAAGATACCATTAAGGTGGTGTTTATGAACAAAGCCTCTCGCCCTTACACGATACAGCCACACGGAGTGCAGTACAGTATAGAACAGGATGGGACACTTTACTACAATGAGCTTGAAGGTTATTCCTTGCATTTGGACATTCATCACATCTATGTTTTTTAAATGTCTACCACCTCCATCTAAAATCTTCACTCTTCTTCATGTTAGAATCATACACAGAAAAGAGACTGCGGGAGCTCAAGAAACAACCAAGTAAGTAACTCTCTGCATGAAGAGAACAAAACAGCCCATTTTTAAGCACATTGATTTTTAGCATTAATCAGAAATCTTTTTCTCTGTCACTGTGTTGCTGCAGGAATTGTGACTCCTCCCCCAGCTGCTTCCGTCAGACCTGGAACAGTATACACCTATGAGTGGATGGTACCTGTGGGTGCTGGTCCTGTAGAAGGGGAGGCTGATTGTCTGACCTATCTTTACTACTCTGCTGTGGACCCCATTAAAGACACCAGTTCTGGGCTTGCAGGACCTCTTCTCATCTGTCGACCCGGAGCACTGAAGAAAGGACATCAGGTAAAAAGGAGAGGGAGTAACGTGAACCATTTAGATGTTTTATAAGAATAATACTTGACTAAATTGAGTCCCATTTATCGTGGCATTTCAGTCCAGAATTTTGGAATCTGAATTAGAAGATAGTTACATTTATAACCTGCTGCTCAGCATTCATCAATTTAACCAACTTTCATGCTTGTTTTTATCTCTGATTACATGTAGAAAAACTATGATAAAGAGTTTCACCTCATGGCCACAGTGTTTGATGAGAACCTCAGCTGGTATCTGGATGACAACATAAGGACTTACGCCACTGCTCCCAAAACCATCAACAAGGAGGATGAAGATTTCATGGCAAGCAACAAAATGCATGGTATGCAATTTCCCTGAATGAGTGTGATAAAATCAAGTCAAATTATATTTTATATGTGTCAATAAGTATTTTTAAGCACATGATAGGAACAAAGAATAAAGTTTGAAACTGATTTGGCATATCCATCCATTAAATAGAATTAAATAGAAAAACGTTTGGCATCCATTTTGAAACGGTCCTTTTTTAAATTCTGAACTTGTCGTGCTAATGGAGAATATAAATCTGCATGTCATCGGGGTGAAAATGCATTTCAGGATGACGATCAATCTAAAGTTGATCAAGCCATTCAAAAATACATTTTGTTCATGGTTGAAATGTTTTACTGTTTCCATCATTTCAAAATGTCATATGATTTGTGATTTCATAATTGACATTAACCAAACTGTCTGTGACTTTCTTTTAGCCATCAATGGGTTTGTGTACAGGAACCTCCCAGGCCTGACCATGTGTAAGGGGGATAAAGTCACATGGCATTTGTCCGCACTGGGTTCAGAGACTGACATCATAAGCCTTTACTTCCATGGCAACCGCTTCCTTTACCGCCAGAACAGACGAGACACCATCAGTGTCTTCCCTCACATCTCACACACCGTCACCATGGAGCCAGACAGCATGGGTATGTCTATTCCCTGAGGCATGATGAGGTGGTGCATCATATGCTATATAGTCATTATAAATCATAAAAAAAAGAAAAGTTACAGAAAGAATAGCAACTCAATAAGGATGAACTGTGCTTTACGCCTACGTGGAACCGCATAGACGACTAAAGACAAACTTCAGTGATTTGACAGAGGTCTGCTTAAATTCTTATGTTTTTCATACATCAGATGTCATTTTTGTGTGGGTTATAGGCCAGTTTGAAGTTGTGTCTGCTACAGTGGATCATTATCGTCATGGAATGCGAGCAAACTACACTGTGGAAAAGTGTGGTCTGTTTCAGCGTCAGGGAGAGGTGATGCTCCATTCAAAAACCTACTATATCGCTGCCATGGAAATGGACTGGGACTATTCTCCAAATAGGACCTGGGAGGCAGAGATGTTCCGTGGGCAACCAGAGAAGTAATAGACACATAACATAAAAAAATACACTTGAGTTAATGAAACAGTGTTTTTAACATTGGCCTTGTTTAGGAAATTAATTCTGACTACAGAAAAGCAATTCAACTTCTATAGACAGAGATTGCAAATTACGTAGTAAGATTCCTTTCTCCAATTGAGACCATATGAATCATTCAATTAAATGTTTTTCCTCAGTGTCATATAGTTTGGTACAAAATAGATATTTAGAAACACACATTTTGGCACATGTATTTTCATTGACAGTTTATAGTCATATTTACGCTCCATACACCGTCCTGCTCTCATAAATGTTTACAAGACCAATGTAATATTGAATTCTACAGATTAACTTCCCTCAAATTAGTCCAGCGTTTCCTTCTTATTAAGTACTAAAACAAAGACGAAAGATTATTTTAAACTCATAATAACTTTTAAAGTAATGGGGTGTGTTTTTCTTTTTCAGTCCCGCTCCTGTCTTTGTAGACCCAAGTGGTGGTTTTGTAGGGTCTCGTTACAAGAAGGTTGTCTACCGACAATTCACCAACGATAAGTTTACCAAGCAGGTGGAACGAGCAGCTGATGTGGAACATCTCGGCATTATGGGTAGGTTGTGACGATAACTTTAACTTGTGTGAAAACTGAAATTGTAAGTTCACGATTGTACGCACAAAGTTGTTCTGATAAAAAGAGAAACCAGTTGAGATTAAAACAACAGTACCTATGGTATAAAGATGTGTCTCTGGTCCTAAAGTGGAAATATATCTTTGTCTCAATATGTTGGAGAAAAGTTGGATGTTGTTATGTATTTGATATAGGTTGTTCTTTTGGTTCGTTTGTTCAAGCTATCTTATTTTGTGTCCCATATTTAGTCCCCTTTCAAGTTGTTTTGCATCCAATGTTTGCCATTTTGAGTTTCCTGATTGTTTTCAATCTCATTTTAAGAAACCTCTTATACCGAATTTTAGCATTCAGTCTGTTTTTCAAATTTCTACTTTACTTTGTTCTTTTTGGTCTATATATCTTTTTGGGTTTTGTTAATAGATAACGTCTATTACACAGCTGGTAGAAAAATAAACACAAAAAACTTTTCCTTTTATTTTAGGCCCAATGATCCATGCCAACGTGGGTGACAAAGTCAGAGTGGTTTTTAAGAATATGGCATCCAGACCTTATTCCATCCACGCCCACGGTGTAAAGACAGAAAGTCCTGATGTACATCAAACTGGACCAGGTACAGGAACAGATTTAAATGACTAAAATTATGTATTCATATGTATATGTATGTCTGTATGTCTGTATGTACTGTATGTATATATATAAACTTAAAACGAAATCTTCCTGTAACAGGAGAAACACACACCTACACATGGTACGTCAACAAGAATACAGGACCAACCCCAGAGCAGGAGGAATGCTCTGTATCTGCATACTACTCCACTGTAGATGTCACAAAGGTAGTCTGACTTAAACTAGACCAAACAAAACTAAAAAGAAAACACATACATGCACTCACCAACTTCAACATTTTCTTGCTGGCTCTCAGGACCTTTACAGTGGACTGATCGGTCCCTTAGTGATCTGCCGCCGCAGCTGGGCCAGGTGAGTGTTTCTGATATTTACAACTAGATCTGAGTATTTTAATTATCTTTATTTGTTTTTATTTTTTTCACAATGATATTATTTTCACACTGCATATTTTACACTGTCTAATGAAACACTGCGTCGCTTTCAGGAGTCTTGGATTGAAAAAGGAAGTTGAAGAGTTTGCACTGCTTTTCATGGTCTTTGATGAGAACGAAAGCTGGTAAGTTGCAGAATAAGTCTAAAACATCGAAGATTTGGAAACACCTAATCGAATTTGAAATGTAAGCCAAAAACAAGTTAATTACTTTGACTTAGTATCACATAGTCAGACCTAATTTCAATGTTTTGTCATCCTCAGAATATCACGTCATTTGTTTTGACTGTATAGTAAACTTATATAGTTCATTATTCTCACCTTAATGCCCTGCAGCATTTTCTCAAACTAACTTAAAACCCTTGATAACTGTGTCCCAGGTATCTGGATGAAAACATTAAGAAACACATAAGAAACCCTCGCCCAAACCTAAAGGAAGATGAAACCTTTATCGAGAGCAACAAGATGCACTGTGAGATCAGCACACATATGAATACATACATGGAATTTTGTTTTTTTTAAGGGACTGGGTTAGAAAATTGTATTGATCAATGATACAAGTTCCAGTTGGACAGTTGTTTATCAATGAAAAATGATGAAAAAGTGCTTTCAAAGATTCCACGTATTTTGCTTTTTGTTCAACCAAACTGTCATTTATTTTATATCACAGAAAATCTGCTGAAAAGAAGAATACAGCTAAATAGCTTTTATGTGTTTTTCCACAGCAATAAATGGTTATGTTTATGGTAACTTGAATGGTCTGACCATGGAGGTGGGTGATAAGGTGTACTGGTACCTGATGGGAATGGGCAATGAAGTGGACATACACACTGTGCACTGGCATGGCCATAGTGTGGAATATAAGGTATATAATCCAAGCAAATAAATACACCACATGACGCACCCATGTTGTTATCAAAACTATTTGTGACCATTCTCTTTCATTCACAGCTGAGTGGAGGTCGTCACCGTGTTGATTCATATGAATTGTTTCCAGCCATCTTTCAGGTAATACTTCCCAGTTGGCATCCCACAGTTTTTGTTTATTTTAAAGAATGAATTTTAGTTTTTGGATTCCCTTATGTTTTCATGTCCTGTAATATTGTCTTTCACATAGAATAAATTGGTAATAAAGCGATTATGTAATTAAAAAAAAAGAAATGCGCTAGAATAAACTAGAATAAAAATGCTGCTCAACTAGTAGGTTGTATTATCTTGTTCCTGTCCAGACAGTGAAGATGCGTCCTCAGTATCCTGGTACGTGGCTGCTTCACTGCCACGTCACTGATCACATTAAAGCTGGAATGGAGGCGATGTATACTGTGACTGAGAAAGGTAAAATTAATCCATATTGCATCGTGCCACCTGGTAAAAATTCAGACAGATTCAGACAGATACAAATGAAAATGGTAAATATGACATATCAGTGTAATGGAATAACTTTTTTTCTTCTTTTACAGCAAAGAAGACGTGGGGCTGAATGCTGAGGAACGGGGAAAATGGAAAACTGCAAAATGATGTTGATTTCTGTGCCTAATCAACTGAATGCCCATGTTTGTAATATCAGTTTCCAGTGAACATGTCCTGGCACAATATGGACACAGAATTAATAATTAATTTTATATTAAAATGTGTATTTCTAAATATCTATTTTGATTTATTCATTTTCTTTTTTGAAAAAATGACAGTATCAACTGCCAGACCATATACAGAGAGTATTCAGGTAACAGAGGACAAGCTATTTATGTTTTGTAGGTTTTTTTTTTAATTAACCATCCACTATCCATCCAATTTTCAATATTTAAAAGACATATTTTAAAAAGTAGAAGTATTTTGGGTTGTTGTTTGTTTAAGGGGGTAGTTAAGAGTTACATGTAGAGAAACAAAGTATGCAGTATATCCAAAAATGTACGCTGCACATATACCATGCTTCTATCTAAGAAGTCTGCCACCACTTAGTGGAGTAGATTGCTTTATTCTTCCACTAGATGGCAGAAGGGACATTCATACATGCAGAAGTTTGACTTGAATGGTTTACAGCAATACATATAAACATGTATTCAGTTCACAAAGATAGAGGGATTTCCTTTGACTCTTTTCACACGCAAACAATTAATTTAGTTATGTACCTTTCTTAGATGAAAACCAAAGTGCTTCACAATTAACATTTCGTATAAAACAAAACCGACAATTTAACCTTTTTTTAAAAATGTCAGACATGTCAATGCCTCAAAAAGTTGTCCATTCCTATTTCACATCCAACTGAAGGCTGACTGTCTTTACACAATCAAGAAATTTCAGCTACAATCTCTATTTATTATGAACTGTTGTTTTTGTTTCCTTCTTGATAGCTGTTACTGCATGGTAACTCGCCTCATAGCCTAAGACACAAAATTAATCATTCAAACATTCTCTCATGTCCATGTGTGAAATCAGAGTAACTTAGACCAGAACACTAATGACAACATAATTTGAAGACAGAGTACTGCTGTCTTCTTCTTTGGCGAAAAACATAAAAGATTTGCTTCGCTTGGTCATGAGAAAACAAATCGAATACATAAATCAAACTTTTCAAATCATCAGCTGCTCAAAGCATCTTGAGCTTCTGAATTTTGTCATTAATTTTGTCATTAAACAAGCAATTTAATGACTGATATTTCAGGTCTCAGAGAACATAAATGTCGCTATTTAAAAAACACGCTTTAGATCTTCGTGGTGCAACACAGAGCTCAAATTTAATCTAAAATCATCACTTCATTACATTCTAGGAGTTCCTAGCTACAACACTGTGGCACTTTTGTCTTGTGAGTTTGATATGTGAGCTGTTCGGACACTGACTCCGAACAAGAAGGGTCACATTGAATCAAGATATACTGTGTCAGTTCTCCACTCAGTGGTGGTTTTTGTGTCACTTGGAGCAGTCAGTGAAAAAGCCCCGATTAGATACTAACATTTTTCCCTGTCGGTCTAAAGGTCGCTAAAGGTAGCACTCCTGCAGTTATTAAGAAGATTGGTATTCTGCAAAAACATGATACAAATAAACCAATCGAAATATACAATGAGTTATTTCAGATGTGTGAACTCAAAAAAGACTCAAATAGTATTTTCAAATTCACTTAAAAACTGTGCCCTTTGAGAGGTTTCTGAGGGTTCTGTGAAGGTTTTCCATCAATGTAGGAATATGAGATTTGGAATTTTCTAACGTGACCAATTACAGATTCAAACACCAAACTAGCCCAAAAAGGAACACACATAAACTCTGCCCCCAAACACACACTGTAAATAGTGCAGCTCAGTTTCTAAGCAGCTGTCTGCAGTCCATTCGGCAGCAATGAAATAGAATTTAGAAGATTCAGACCATGAAATGTGGGCAGTAATAGCAACTCTGATCTATACCTGCTCTGAATCTCAATTTTTTGGAAACAACTTTGTGCAATTCAGCCAGTGAAACCAAACATGACACTGGAATCTCATTCCAAAATTTGGGGTGGCTTTGCCCCAGAATGATGATCTTAGTTTTTGTGTTGATCAAGGCACAGCTGTCTGAATGTTAAGGCATTTATAAAGGTAGAAGGCAAGATTTCAACAAAAACAAAGGTAATAACATTTCCCGGGCGGTAGAGGGGGTCTCTCTGCATTGAGTTTGCATGTTCTCCACAAGAACATGTATGTGAGGTAAACTGTTGGATGATTGTCTTATTCTGAAGCAATCAATAGGCTACAGACTACTAATTTCACCCAAAATGCAGCACCTGAAAAGACGGTGGCTGAGGACCAGTGAGTGTCAGAACCAACAGGAAACAACAACAACTATCCATGACTGAAGTGCTCAGTGAATACCTCAGGCAGCAGAAACCAAAGCAAGACATCCAGACAAAGCTGGACTGAAAGATAGCACACAGCTACCAATCATGACAACCCAGGACAAATGGAAAGACAATCCAGCACAAAACAGCAGGATGCAAGATACTAGCACCCTGCTAAAAATGTCCCAAGGTCAAAATGGGATATGCCCCCCAAGGTAGTTGATAATGACCAGGCTAAGATCAAGTGGTATCCTTCCAGGGTAGGTATACATCTGGGTTGTCCTCACGAATTAGTCAACATTAAAAAAAAAAAAAGAAAAAAAAGAAAGAATCTTCTGTTGGGTTTGCCAAAACCCATGCAAAACATTATCATTATTCATGGGGAAATTTGTAGTTGTTGTTTAAGTGTATTTATGTTTAGTATAAATATATTTATTTATGAATAAATAAATAAATATAATTTGAATGTCCAAAAGCCCACTCCAATGCTGAAACTTGATATATAATATCGGCAAGCAAACAAATGGAAATCGTAGTATGTCACCTTGTTCACATAGCAAGCATAATTCCTCGAAGATGATTGAAGATGATATGACAGTATGTTGTTAATTCTTCCCTCAAGAAGTGCTAGTAAAGCGTTTCCAGTGTCAAGCATTTCGGTGCTCGCAAACTGAAACGAGTGTAATTAAAAGATTAATTTTAGATAATGGCAAGGAGGCAACAAACAAATTGGAAAGATGAATTTATTTTCACAGTAGTTAGTGCCAGATTGTCACCACTGGGAATACATTTTTAAGGCAAACAAGCATTGGTGAAGGCTCTCTTCCCTTTCAAATTTTGTTTTTCTATCCACAGATATAGTGAGACAGAGGAAGAAGGAGAAACAAATGTCTAAGGGTGCTAACCCCTGTTGGATTTCAAAAGCTCGCTTATTCTTTTCAGTTTCAGTGCCCACGGGTCATCCTGTCTGCTCTAGCTGAGGATACTGATGCATGCAGACATCTTTATCCTCTGTAGTTAAATCTCCTGATGACAGACAGACACACATCACAAAAGCCGAGAAAAACAACTCTTGTGTTTTCTAAATGACCTTGAGTTTGTTTGTTGCTGTCAAGCTCTGAAACAATTGTCTAAGTGAATCGGGAGACTCCGCTCCCAAGATTTTTTGTTACAATAGTCTACAGCTTAAGCCCCAAATGATGCAAATATTCTACTCGGTTATCTGTTTGTATTTCCACTGAGGAGCTAAACGCTCCCCTTTCAACTCAGTTCCAAACACTCGGCCTAAATAAGCTTCTACAGATTAATATAAAACCCTCTTCTAACAAGAAAATATTAATGTAAAACCCTCTTGACAAAACTATCCCCTTGTATCCACTCAACCCGTCATTAATCTCCACCAGTTTCTTCAGAAATCGTGTTTGAGGTCATTGACAAGCTATCAGCCTAACTTTGAATAATCATGATATCATTGTGACAAACTCCTGTAAGCTAAAATGCTATTGACCCCATTTGTCCTCAGGGCTATACCTTCTCAAATGATACTTGATATATGTGGTGCAAAACACAGAAAGAAACAATAGACACAAAATATCTAGACGTTTTTGTAAGACAACATCCCAAATGACCTCTCTCATAACTGATTTCGGCAGATCATGCATCCATGTTTGCCTAAGTAACACAAGATATTAGAATGCAAATTTTTAGACCCGGGAAAGTCAGAGTATCCCTCTTTTCTGCCAACAGTAACTAACCTTTTATAATCATTGAGATCCCATTCCAAACTACTACCAAAAATATAGTTCTTTTGTAACAATATAGGTAATACAAAAACCTACAAAACTGATAAACTTTCCAACATTGTTCAAGCTCAAAAAGGTCATATTTATTATTCATTATTTTTGCTGTAGACATACTTAATATAAGTGTTTATAGATGAAAATAGAATATCCAGTTAAAACAATGTTTATGTCTATGCATTATGGTAAGTTTATGCATTTAGCAGAGGCTTTTATCCAATGTCCTCTTGACAAGCATTTTACTATCTCCACCAAGTCAAGTTAAGTAGTTTAGGATTTGTTTGGAACATCCAGCTGATACCCAATGTTCACAATGGTGATGTTTCAGTCTTCAAAGGTAGAACAAGTGACATATATATCAGCCTGAAATGTGAAGAAAAAAACCCCCCAGAAGACTAGCGTTTTGTTTTTCCCAAACTAGCTCTAAATGTGTAACTTTGATCTGGTGGTAAGCAACCAATCACATGACAAAAACATTTAATAGGATTGTAACAAAAGTGATAACCATTGCTTCAACAATTACATCCCTCCCTTTTGTCCTTGGTTTATCCCTTGAGGCTCTTCTTTCAGTAACAAGCTCCCATTTCTTTACGCACAAAATTGTCCTCGAGTCAAGGGTGACCTACAGTAGAGAAGTTTAGGGAATAATGAAAAGGTTGATTTGCACTGTTTTAGCTGAACATTTGCTAATCTTTTGTTTCTAACTGGGCAGTTTGGTTTTTATTTATTATCTTATAAACCACAGCACAAAGACATTGGACAATTCTATGACACAACAGCTGGCATTAAATTCAATATAAATCTCACTAAGCAGGCTGCAAAGCTTCTTTTTGGTCATAATCAGTAAATGTTCAGCTAAAACAAAACAGATTAAGTAGTTTCTGTAGGCTTATCCAGATGTTAAATGTTAGCTTAACTGTAATTTGCTGAAGAACATTTTTTAACCTTGTTGGAGAGAAAAACACGCACAAACACACACACACACACACAACTAATATTAACAACAGCACATGCCAAGGTGAAAAGGGATTTTTCTGTATTTTCT